TGGCTGTCCTGTGAGGTGCCCAACTTCAGCCAGTCAGAGCCGAGCCTCTGTTTTGACCTTTCTGCCAGAACGGATGTCACGTGCTTTTGGCGTCTCCGATTACTTTTGTTCATAGGAACCATTAATCCTCCATACTAATTGTTTTCCTGAACATTTTTCTTTTCTTCACTCTGTTTTGATTCCAAAGGGAAGTGGTCAGTAGTTTTATCTCAGCTGCTTGCAAGCTGCTATTCCCTAAGATAGCATATAACGCGCTGCCTTAATGGACTATATTAGGTCTATTGCTCAAACTCCATAGGGCTTTTGATGGCTAATTTTTCTGAGGGATGTCTGGATGGACTTGAACCTCCAATCTTTCAGTCAGCAGCTAGGTGTGATTATTGACCGCACCACCAAGCAATCTCTGGTCTCAGTGCTCGCCAAGTACAGCTCTGCTATCCTAAGCTCTACCTCCTGCCTTTAGTTCCTTGCATGGCACCTGGCATCTACATCTTAAAAAATGCACAGTATTGTTTTAAATGACAATATTTGCATACATAGATATTTTATTAAAAATATATGGAATATTATCACCTATAATTATGGGCCAAATATTTTAAATTCTAGTTTTGATTGAAGAAAATAGCACAAGATGAGAACTCATTCACTGAGCTGCTTGATTCTATTATTAAAATAAGTAGTTAGGGAAAAAAATAAGTGAGTTAGGGCATTTTTAGATAGAGTGAAGACTTTTGAGTTTTTATTATTAGGCATTTGTGAAGGAACTGGGAATCAAATACCTATCAAAATGCTACCGTTACAGAGATGTGTGGATTCTTTTTTTTTACATAAATGCTTATTTCATTTAAATGCACACATCATTTTTTCAGAGTAAGTGTTTTATTTTTACCTTTATCTTAGAACAGAGTTCTAGTTAGTGATTTTAAAGAAAAATAATCCTTTCCTAAGACATGGGTTAGAAATGCAAACATCTGTAAGAGCCACTAGCTAAAAAACATCATTAAATGTATTGTTTATCTAAAGCTTTTCTTCTCACCTTCAATTAACTATTGCTATTTACCAGTACAGGCCCAGGGTTGCCAGATCTAGCTTTTCAAAGAGGCTAGAAATAGAGAAAGCTGCACTTTTAGATGAAACTCATGGTTTTCACATGCTGATTTAATTGGAAATTCCATATATAGGGCAGGCCAAACAAGACACACTTGCAAGTCCACGTAATCACCTCTGCTCTAAAATAAAATGTGTGGCTTCTGATACACACACACACACACACACACACACACCCCAATTATAAATGTAATATGTTGGAAGAAAAATTCAAAAGGAAATAAAAAAATTAATGGATGAAGCCATGTTCTTTTGCTCCATATGTTTAGTTATAACTATTCCTCTTTTAAGTTTCTCCTTCTCTTTCTGAGTTTCTGAAAAAGCTATTAATCCAACTAAAATGCAAGCCATACCAGGTTCAATGAAGGAATATGCCCATTATTCTAGCATCTGCTCTTTTTTAAAGAGGGAAATATGGGGTCAATTGCAACTTGCAATTCTTCTGGCCAACTTAAGAGAAATATGTGAGTTATTTTGAGCTGAGTGGAAAAATTCCCACAACCAAATAGTGGAGTGGCTGCATGGTTGAAAAGACCTCTAAGTTATTACCCCTTCAGGCACTGCAGCCCCAGCTCAAAAGACAAGAGGGCAGCTCAATCAACACCATGCTTGAAGCTCTTGTCTAGAAAGCCAATCACAACCTTGGGAAAGAATTTTAAATCTTTAAAAATCCTGCAGAGGTTCCACTCATCTTCTGGAACGGAAGATAAGAGGGCCTGTGGTTCTAACTATGGCTCTTAGATAGAAAATCGCACCTGTTGGGAATCCAGAGGACAGAAAAGCAATTTCGAGTAAGGTTTCAAGTTTATGTCCAGCATTAGAGATGAACCACCTTGACCTCCCTGGTGATCGGAACTTCTCAGCCTCAGCCTATGCAGAGGTTCAAGTGGTACAACTGGGTCATTTCAACATGTTTTGGACACTCAGTCACAGTTTAATTTTTCTAAACAGATCAATGTATTCCCAAGCCCTAGACAAGTAATGGGCAGGGCCATACCTTTTCCCATTCCCTAAAGCTCTGCCATCTCAGTGTTCACCCGGATGTGTGGTGAGTGTACACATTTCCAGGGGGAGTTTATCAATGAGTAAAAGTAATGGCAACTCTGCAAGGGGCCCACTCTTCACACAGGCAATAAAGAGATTTTTGAGGTTTAGTGTTTTGGGGTTTTTTACACAGTAGTAGAGATGCTACAATAGGTAAAATCTTTTTCCTAAGATCTTTCTTCATTCAAGCAATGAAAGGGCAAACATGTGCTCTAATAACACCCACCCACTGTCAGAAACTGCCTAATTTGCCAAGTGACCTGAATAACACAGGCATGTCACTGCATACACCATTCCCTTTCTAAGAACAGCTAGCATCTGGAAAGAAGACAAATGATCACCTATCCCTTAGATGTATAGCCCAGGAAATAGTCACCTGTAAAATACTCTAAATGACAAACAAAACCATAATATGAAAGGCAGAGTAAGAAGAAGCTACCAAAAAGTGACCAGACTCTGTGTGACCCACCAATATTTCCTCCAGGGTTGCACAGTGCACCATAACTCCCTCCAGTTGAGACTAGAAAGCCATTTCAGGGTGTTTAGGAGCCTAACAAGACTGGCTAAGATGTGAAACAACAGCAAGAGCATGTATTTAAGGGACTTGGATTTTGATGACCCACCTCCAATGGCCACAGAAAAACACATCTCTAGTAAGGCCATGGGATGCAGGGAAGCCGACCACTGAATGTAAAATAAGTTTTGAACCCATCAGTCCTCTGCACAGGAGGCTTGTTTTGTTCTTACCTCAGCAGCCTGGGTCTCTTGATGAAGCAATGTAAGACCAGTCAAGTCTTCTAAGAAGGAATGTGAAGAATTAAACACTTTTGCAAGAAAACTAAATCCTTCTCGTTCATATTGATCAAGAACCTGTAAAACATTAACAAATTTTAAAAGGTTAGTATGGACTTGAAATGCATATTTAACATTTTAAATTCTAACACATCTAGATAAAAACCATCACAGTAGTAAAGATAACATTAGAATTAAACAGGAGGAAAACAATGTAACTTTGTGATCAAGAAACTGGGAGGTCTTAGGATTTCTTTTCTTCTTAGAAAAAGTGACAATCTTGGAAGTTGGAATCACCAACTTCATATGGAAACAAAAGAACTCACAGATAATCAAAACAATACTGAAGGAGAAAACTAAAGAAGGTAGCCTTCCACCTCCTGATCTAAAACATGCCACACAGCCACAGCTATCAGAACAGGCTGGTGTAGGCTCAGGTGCAGAGACCATTGGGACAGAACTGAGCATCATCTAAGAACCGCCTCATAGCCACAACAATCAGAACAGGCTGGTGTGGGCTCAGGCAGACAGACCAATTGGATAAAACTGAGCATAATCTCAGACTTGCCACACAGCCACAGCTATCAGAACAGCTTGATGTAGGCTCAGGCAGAAAGACCCATGATGGTATAGAACTGTGCATCTTGAGTATCAGGGGGCCTCAGTCCTTAGGAAAAAAATCACACAGGGAGATGGAGAGGTTTTGTGAAAAAGAGGGAGAGACTCAATGAGGAATGACAGTGACAGCAACTCAGAGCCTCAGCATGCCAGAAATGATGAAGATGACGCAGGATTTGTTGTTCATTGGGTGTCTATGAGTTGTAGTCATCTTGATGATATCTGACAGCAAGAAGTGGACAACTGGTGTTTGACAAAGAGATTACATCCATTGCATGGTAAAAAGACAGCCTTTTAAAAGAAATCTCACCAGCTTCTCTCTGGGAGCAAGATGAGCAATATACTCCCACACAATTTACAGCTTCTGAAAACTTGCTGAGGTTCAGCTGTGAGTCAGTTCCAGCTTGATGGAAATTTCACAAATGGTGCTGGAAAAACTAGATATCTATTTGCAGAAACAGAACCCATACCTCATACCATGTACAAAAAACTTATTAAAGATGAATCAAGGGCCTTGGAGTAAAACCTACAACTAGGTTACTGATAGTTGTCACTGAGTTGACTACACTCATCGTAACCCTGTGACAACACATCTGAACCCTGTCCTCTCCTGCCCCATCCTCACTATTCCTGTCATGCTCAAGCCCACTGTAGTAGTCACTGTGTCAGCTCTTTTTATTGAGGCTCTTCTCCTCTTTTGCTGACCTTCTCTTTACTTTTCCCAGCATAATGTCAAAACTATAAAGCTCATCAAAGAAAACACTGGGATAAATTTGCTGTGCTAGTTAACTGCCTCCAAGTCAATTACAATTCACAGTGACCCTATGAACAACAGATGTGAACCCTGCGCATCATGTTATCCTCATGATCTCTGATATGCTCAAACCCATTGGTACAGTCACTTCATCAATCCACCTTGTTGGGGGAGTTTTCATTTCTTTCTCTGACCCTTTACCTTTCCCAGTATGATGGACTCTTCCAAGGACTGATCCCTCTTGACAACATGTTCAAAATGAGAGATGAAGTTTCACCACCCTAGCTTCTAAGGAACACTCAGGTTGAACTTCCTCTAAGACAGTCTTGTTTGTTTGTTCTTTTGCTGGTTCATGGGATTTTCGGTACTCTTCTACAATACTAAAACTCAGGAAACCTAGTCTATGGTATAAATAGTGCACAAAGATAAGATAGGTGATTGGGCCCTCCTAAAAATGAAATCCTTACGTATATAAGTAAATTTGGCCAATGCTACATCTGACAAGAGACTCAACTTTAAAAATTTAGAGAAAATTCTAACCTAAGAAAAAGACATACAACCAAATGCAAAATAGGCAGATGAAATGAATAGACACTTCACCAAAGATGACATTCAGTCAACAAATACATGAAAAAATGCACAAGATCATTAGCTGTTGTTGCTAAGTGCTGATGAGTCGAGTACAACTTAAAATGACCTTATGAACAATCGATCTGAACTCTGTCCTGTGCCATTCTTGTTATCTTAAATGGACACATTTGAGTCCATTGTTGTACACACTGTATCAATCCCCTTTAGGGTCTTTCGAGAGAAAGAGATGTGTTTACACTTTACCTTTATAAGCAGGATGTTCCTCTCTAAAGAATAGAGATGTCCAAAATAAGGAGTGAAGCTTCACCATCTTTGTCTCCAAGAAATATTCTCATTTAACTTTTCCCAAGACATATCTGTTTGTTCTTTTGGCATTCCATGAGATATTCAGCACTCTTCTCCAACACCACAACTCAAATGCATTGATTCTTCTTGTGTAATCCCTATTCATTGTCCAGCTCTCAAATGCACAGCAAGTGATTGGAAATACTGTGGCTTAAATCAGGCGGGCTTTTTCTTAAACAGACATCATTGTTCTTAAGGACTTTTGTTTGATATGTGCCTGCCAGCAGACTTTCCCAAAAAATGGTCTTTTGATGTCCTGACTGGTAGTATCAAGGGTATTCACTGGGGATTCAAGTAAGATGAAAGAGTTGACAATTTCACTTTTTTTCTCCATCTATCATGAGGTTGCCTATTGGTCCAGTGATGAGAATTTTCTTTCCTTGATGTTGAGTTGTAAGGCATATAGAATACTGCAGACCTTGATTCTCTGCAGCAAGCACTTAAATCTTCCTCATTTTCAGAAAGCAAGGTTATGTCATCTGCATAATGTGAGTAGTTGATGAGATTTCCTCCAAACCTGATGCTACATTCTTCCTCATAAAGTACATTATATTTTAGGGCATTATTTTTATCGTAGGAGTATACAATGAGGGTTGTAGAGTGGATTATATTTGGGGCTAGGGGGTGGGGTTTGG